AGGGAATTTTTGTGTGTTGGCCCTTTATGAGGGTGCCCGAACTTTCAGCTGCCACTCCCTGGCAGACAGCACCCCACTGCTTTTCACAGCTAGATGTTATGTGGGTACCCCCCTCAGTTTGGTGCTCTCTGCTGGGGTGCCCAGCTTCGGGATTAGATCCCAGAGTTCTCAGTGGCATTCACCCCCCCCCCCCGCCCCCCAGCTGATATATCTCTCTGGGACTTCAGTTGCCCTCTGTGGGTGCCCAGCCAGTCCTTTCGAGCCTCTGCCCCTCCTACCAGTCTGTATACGGTCTCCACCTTCAGTCCTTGGGTATCAGGGTTCTCTCCTATGAGTTTTCCATTGATTATTCAGGAAGCCTTTCCATATTTCAGTTGTAATTCCAGCTTGTTCCTGGGAGCATGTCCATTCAGTATCCTCCTACTCTGCTGCCATCTGCGTTTTGCTTTTTGTTGCCATTAAGAGGGTCTCAGAGTTTAATGCTTTGGGGGGAAAGAAATATTTGAGTCCTGAACTATTACAGGGGATCCCTCAGCCTCTGTCCTATTTCATTCATGAGCCGAGATCATTTTGAGAAGTAAAAGGTAACTTCTTACAGTTCTGAGCATGTATATAACAGAGTAAGCAAACCTCTGTAACAGCCTCTAGTGGATAAAGAAGGGAGTGAGCCACAAGTCATTTTTATTTTATTTTTTAAACTTTCTATTATGGAAACATTTCAAATGTACATGAAAACTAGTCAGAATATTATAACCAACTGCCATGCACCCCTCACCAAGCTTTAAGGATGATCATTTCAGGCCAGTTTTGTTTCATTTATATCCCTACCCACCTGCGCCCCTCTACTTTGAAGCAAACCCAGACATCATATCATTCCCTCACAAATATTTCCGTATGTGTCTCTAAAAATTTAAAGGAGTCTCTTTAAAAAACACAACAGCTTAACCTCAATAACATTATTACACCTAAAGTTTATCTTAATATTATTAAATATCGATCAGTATTCAAGTTTCTGGTTGCCTCATATTTTTAAATTTGTTTGTATCAATCAGTATCCAAATGCCATGTTGCCTCCGATTGCTGCTTCTCTCGGGCCCCCTCACAGCTCTTCTACTGCATTAGCTTCATTCTCAGACTCCGAATGTTTACAGTGTGGCTATAATGCCACCAGTCCCAGCCCTACACATCTTACAAAAGTCTCATCGCATCTCCTTGGTACAGAAGCAGTCACATGCTCCTCTCTGAACCAATCACTGTAGCCAGGGAACCAACGGCCCTAACTGCCAGGGTTGGTCACTTTCTACAGGTAGTCATGGAAACACAACTTGAAAAATTGGAATTATTTTTTTTAAGCCCTGCTCATATTTTATACATGTTACTGTTGCCCCGATTCAGTCTCTGTTGATTCAGGGTCACCACTGGAGGGTGATTGGCTGTGATTGATTCTTTACTGCTTTCCAAGACTGGTGTTTCCAAGATGTGCTGCTGTTTTATAATCTTTTTGCTCTTGTTTTGTGTGTGTGTGTGTGTGTGTGTGTGTGTGTTTTCCAGTAGATTAAATTATGGAAGGATTCTTTGGAGGATTCTTTGCCTGATTGGTCTGAGAGCCTGTTCGTTCTTGTTTTACTCTATTGTTAAGCTCAGGCTGGTCTATGCATTGAGTGGGGTGTGCACAATTAAATTCTCATTGAGGTCCAAATTGTGATCGTCTTTATTTGCCTGGAGTTCTCGATTCACTTATCTTTGGCCTTTGGTTATAATAACAGCCCTACCAGCCATCAATACAAATACTGCTCTCAATTTCTCTCGTCCACATCACAGCCCTCTCCCTACCTCTTTCTTCTGCCTCTTCTCATGCTTATAGAAAAGAATTAAGTGAAATCCTCCTTCTGAACCTAAACTGAGGCTTAAGGCAGCAACAACACTGGGCCATGGAGCCGAGACCAACTTCTGGCCCCGCTCTGCTGCGCCCTGTGGTATGACATGAGCAGGACACTTAGTCTCTCTGGACCCCCATGTCCTCATCTTTAAGTGATGGTGTGGGCTTTGATCTCTGTAGTCTGGTGCAGCCTTAAAATGACCTATATTAAGAAGCTGATGCTGATCTTGGGACACTTCATCACGGAGGAAGGTCAGAAAGCGCTTATACGCCCAACACCCAACCTGGGGTCAGGGATGTGGTCAGTACTCTTCCGCCGCCTGCCACATCATCTCTCCCTCATCTCCATCTTTTCCTGCCTCATTTCCTTTACCTCCCCCTTCTTTCTGATTGGATTATTTGTTTTCAACTTTCTTAATCCATGTTTTTTTCTCCCCACTGCCCAATTCGTAAGCCACCTGTACTGCCTAAGACTGCCAAGCCCCCTGCTGGGCTAAAGGACTTACCTGCTTTCCTCCTTCTGGAAATGTTCCCATTAACTTAAGCCTTCTCAAGAAGGTTCAAGTCTAGTCTTGGCATTTGTTATTCATTGTGCCACAGGGAACAATCTTAAGCTCTTAAGGGAGTGTTATGTCTTGGTAGAACTTTTAGGAGTTATTGTTGTTTTTATTCAACAACCAATATTAATTGAGCACCTACCAGGTGTCAGACACTGGTTAGATGCTGAGGCGATAGCAGGAAAGAGGGTCCCTGCTCTCATGGAGCTTGAATTCCAGTGGGGAAAGAGGTACAAGTAAATAAACCATTAAATGAATGGGGAAAATGTCAAGTGGTGACATGTACTATGCATAAAAGAAAACAGGAGCAGAGATGGGCATGAATGAGTTCATTTTTGCTGAGAACTGAAGACTGAGAAGGAACCAGGTGATGAGCTTACCTGCTGAGAGGGCTTACAAGTGTGAGGCCCCAGGATGCAAACGAAATAGGTGCATTTAACAGAAAGGGCTAGAAAATAAATTAGCAAGGGGGAGGTTACTTGAGATGAGGTCAGAGGACTAGGGAGGGGCCAGATATTGTGGGTCTTTTTGAGTCTAGGTGGAGAGATTAGACTTTTTAAGTGAAAGGAGAAACCACTGGAGGATTTTAATCAGAGGAGAAACATTATCAGATTTAGGTCCTATGGGGGCCTGGTAGACACCTCATAAATGTGTCCAAAGTTGATTGTATTTACAAGTTTTCATTAAAGATAAAATAAACCCAAACTCTAGACAACTACTCCCTTGCATGTCTCAGAGGCTCCAGGCTTCTCAGTGACCTACTCCCTTCTAGTTGAGCTGTCGCTGGTGGGTAAGAATAGCCATGGGCTCCTCTGCATAGTGTGTGTGTGTGTGTGTGTGTGTGTGTGTGTGTGTGTTTGGGGTGCTCACTTCAAGAACTTAAAAATAATTCTCAAAATACATAGAGAAATCATCTTATTGCTCATGTTCTCTTTTTAGACCCAACTATAGTTAGACTTCCCCATAGGTTCACTCAGGCATTTACTTGGTAGTTAGTAGAGGGGGAAGCAGATGGGAGCTGCAGGCCTCCACCTCTGCCCCGCCCCACGCCTGCATGGGTTATTTATATAATGAGTGTCCCTTGGACTCCAGGCCCTGTGTGAGGCAGGAGGGATACAGTCATACCTTCAAGAGGCTCCAGGCAAAGTAGAGGATTCTCAGTCACTAATCCTCCAATGCTCTGTGCTCAGGAATTCTGCCACGGCTTGGCATCATGATAACTCTGCTTGTGCAGCTGGACTCATATCTCAAAGAGTTTAGAGTCTGAAAGAACCTTAGACGTCAGCTATGCCGGTATTCCTCAGTAGGAGCATTTCCTCAGTAGAAGCATTTCCAGTGTTTTGGATGAGACTGTCCTAAGCATCATAGGAAATCTTTGCATTCCTGGCTCTGCCCATGAATCCTACTGACATAAGCCCCTATTTTAAATGGGAGGGGGGAGGAGTCCTGTGGATCCAAACTGTCCAGTGGTCAGGAAAAATGCTACTGATAATCTTGCTTACATTTTGGATCCAAATACCATTCCAACCCACTGTCCCCCACTCCCAACTGAAAATGCCACCACACATTTCCAACAGCCTCCTAAATTGAGAACCACTGGTCTACCCAGCTCTATCAGAATGTTAGGCAACTTGTCTTTTTATGCCGTTTTTCTCAGAACCCAGCAAAATCAAGACCCAAAGTTCAATTTTTACAACAAGGTTAGTTGCTGAAATATGCCTCTGTTTTTCATTCTTTCAACTGATATTATTTTATCAGAGTTATATGGTATGTGTTGAGAACATTAAATCTGATCCTTTCAGATGGATCTAGAAAAAAATTGTGAGCATTTTCAGATTATTTAAACATACAAGGTATTGGTATAATATTTTCTACCTACATTCCATTGCCCATCCACCTCTCAGAGTCCTTCAATGAGAAGCCTGGCTTTCCTTCTGTGTTCATTATCTCTGTGCTTTTGTCCAGCGTCTCCTGGGAGAGGTTTTGTTACCCCATTAAATATGAAGGACAGAAACAAAACATGCTGGCATAGAAGGCTCTGGATCTTCATATGGCCTGAGCTGTGTATCATGTATCCTGACTGGGGCACCAAATCACCTGTCAAAACGCAGTTGCTTTCATACACCTGACCAGCTCTCTTCACCTGCATTTGTGACTTTCTCCCTATACACTTGAATGCTCTGGAGATGAGGACGAATCATTTGTCCCAATTATTGGTGCATTTGAGAGCTTTTAGTTCTTGAATGACTCTTTTCCTTCATACTAAATGGTATAGTTAATATCGAGAGTGATTCTTTCAAATGGAATTTTCCTGAAGGAATCTCGGATTCCGTGAACAATTATTTTTGTGGAGGTATCTAGAATAAAGTTGGGCTGTTAACTAGATGCATGTTCTGATCTCCTCCTCTTACTGTGCCAAGCAGGTATATTACACCTTGTGGGAGGGAGAAACATTTTTTATCCTTTTAGTTTAGTTTGTGTGTTGTTGTTGTGTGTTTTTTTGTTGTTGTTGTTTTTGCTTGCTTGCTTCTTAAGTAAAACCAATCTAGTTTCTTTTTCTGCAGCAAAGGAGGAAGGAACAAACAACAAATTAATCACACAGGAAGCGAATAACCACAGAAGAACGTCTGCCTCTGACTCAGTATGTCACATTTAATAAGAGGCCAGAGCGTGTCCAAAATGACTGTCCAAAAGCGACCCCGCATTTGCCTTAGAAGATGATGCCTTTTTCAGGGACCGTTCTCTCTCGGGGTTCATCTCTCCCTTGCTCTCTGTCTGCCTGTGTCCCTGATCATGCCTTCCTACAGTATCCATTAACGGTAAGAAAAATTATATTTAAATGTATGTTCTTTATCAGCTAGAGGGGAGAACTAAATGGCTTTTAATGGGCTGTAGTATGTCGAGATAAAGCTCAATTTTTCAATGGAAGGCCACGTGGTCTGTTCCTCTTGCACAGAATGCCAGCTTCACTGCTGTGGTGATTGCAGGTGATTCATAACTTGTGTTTGTAGCCAAAATGTAAGCAAGATTATCAGTAGCATTTTTCCTGACTCCTGGACTGTTTGATCCAAAGGCCTTCCCCTCACCCCCCCCCCACCTACCTCCCCACCCCTGTTTAAAACGGGGCCTTATGTCAGTCAGGAAGTGTAACTTTTCTGTGTATGGGGCAGTACGGTTGCCTTTGAACTGTGCTTTGGCCAGCAACAGCAAATGCTTTTAAAGTAAAGGGAGTCACTGGAAACTTCAAAGGAAAGCACCATGGAACTAAACTGTTGTTATTCTACTGCAACAGACAGACGTTACTTAAGTACAAATCCTAAATGAAACCATTTCTAAGCAGTCTTTAGAGAAGACGATTTCTCTTTAGAATCATTCAGCATCCTACCAGTGCAATCCATGCACAACCACTATTCCTAGTCCAATTCCGTAGCATTTGCTATAACTATTTACATTTAATATGATTACTATTTTGGCATAAAATATTGTAGTTTTAAAATTTCAAGCCTAGTACCCAGAGATCTACAGAGCAGGATTGAGGAAATTTGGGGGTATCAAAAAAGTTTTTTTTCCTTTGGGGCATGTATGAAAAAGCAACTTGACATTTACATCCCCCCCCCATGAAGCAATAGAAAATAAAGCTTTAAAATATTAAGAGGGCACATGCCAATTTAGTCAATAAGTACAAGTTCTTTTAAATAATTCAATGGTCTGAGTAGGGTATACAGTAGGAAACGGGGAAGTGGTCAAATGAAAAGGCTGAGGAAGAAAAGTAGTACAGCTGGAGAGAGAGAAAGGAAGGACGAGGAGAAGCCTGGGAAAGGTTCTGAGGTCAGTTCATGTGGAAAATACCCTTTCTATTCACTTGGATGGGGGGTCTTAAGCATTATATGTTACCTTCATAAAGCTATCTTGCTTCTGAACTGGAACATCATCGAGTTAAAACTATTTTGTAGTCTAAAGAGATTAAATAATTCTCTTAAAATCAGTTGGGTTTTCTAATGCTCTTTGAAAAGTTCACTCATGGGTCAATTGTTCACAGCTCTTCAATTACTCTAATATCTAAACCTTTAAAGGATTGCACATACTGTGAATGAATTGCAATACTTAGAGAAATCCCCATGAAAATCATCCCTCAGGGTCAGCAGCAAATCTACCCTGATCACTGATGATACCAAGTTCTAGATTTGGCCTATATGTTGGAAGTTCCCCAACCCATGTTAAAACGTAAGAGGAATGAGCTACCCAATTCCTGGACCTTTTCAGTTTGATGCCCTTTTGAAGGCTTGCTTAACATCTCGTGAACACGTCATTTACTTTGGAAGTTTCTGGCTGCTTGCAATTTGACTCATTTTTGTTACACCAAACTTTCATATATTTACTTCTTGTTGGAGGGAGCATTTCCCCTCCCTGGCATAACTACCTCTGTCTGTATTTTGCAACCCTCACTCCTGAAAATTAAAACTGAAAATAATACTAGAATAAGGAATGCCTTAATTAGTATGCTTTTCTGAGAAAATTAAAATTTCATGCACACATACCCTTCACCATTCATTTGTAATGCAGAGGTTTACAAAGATATGGACATGTGGAGTAAGGTTTAAATCAATTTGTGTTTTCTCTTTCTCATCATAAAATGGGGGGGAGGGGGACAGTAACAGTTATTGAGCCCTTTCCTATGTGTTAGGCTCTTTACTTTCACTTATTTTATTTTTAAAAAATGGCTAAAGTTATTAAGCACTTGCCTCATTTAATAACCCTACTTAATAGGTGCCATTTTCCCCATTTTATTGTGGGAACTGGACTCAGAGAGGCTAAGTAATTGCCCAAGGCCACCTGACGACTAAGTGTGTAGGAAATGTTCTGTAATTTAAAGAACTTTTTCCTAAGTGCAGGTTAGAGACAACATCAGATGCCCTTTTCCAGGCCTGGAGTCTGGGATTATGCAAATGCTTCGTTTTAAATGTCACAGCAATAGTAAATAGCTTTAAAGTGAATAAGACATTTTTCTTTCTAAGTCTTTGACCTTTGCAGAAGTAAGTTTGGTAACACTTCTAACTTATATAAGAAGACTCCACCTTTTCTTTAAAAAATTATTTTAAAAAGAAACATCCTCAAGAAAAAAAAAGGCCCCACTTTCAACAATAAAATGAATAAAATACATCAAGTGTGTTGACATATATGCAGTGTGTGTGTGAGTGCATGCATGTGTATGAATCTGTGTGTGAGTGAGTGTGTGTGTATGTATGTGTGTGTGTGTAGTGGAGAACAGGGGTAGATCTTAATTCCATGATAAAATTAAAGATGGTGCTGAGGATTTAGGAAAATTTGAGATTTGAGCCCCTTAAAGAGAATGCCTGGCAGAGATGGGAAGTAGTGGGAGGAAATCAATACTGTTTAGTTCTGTGGATAAAGTAGAACAGGGTTTCCCTTCCCTTCCTCACAGTTAAACAACAGGTAGGTGGGTCATTCAACTTACTTTCATTTTCTCACTTTTGAAAGGGCTTGATGTCCATGAATTTGCATTCGTTTCTAAGTTAAACATAGATGACAGCAGGTTAAAAAAATACTTTTACTTCATAGCAGCCTTTATTTTCCTAGCAGTTTACTCTTACAGTAAAATTGTGAGTTGGCGTCATACTAATTGTAATAACATTGTAGATGCTCCAAAATGTCTTCTGAAAAATGCCTTTCCCACCTCCCAAATTAATCAACTCTTTATCTAAATAAATTCTAAAAGGAGTATTTACAAAATAGCCAAGGACCCTCTAACCCAGGGGTGGGCAACTTGCCGTTGAGAAGACAGCCCATAAGCACAATTAACTTAAGTTAACATCATCTGAAATCATGGAGTGTTTGTGTGAACTAATATAAATTCAAAGTGAACATCATTACATAAAAGGGTATGGTCTTTTGTTTTTTTAGTTTTATTCATTTGCCCACAGCTGCTCTAACCCTTAGGCCAAAACTCTTGCCGTTGAGAAGACAGCCCATAAGCACATTAACTTAAGCTATCATCTGAAATCATGTTCAACCGAGAAAGGAGTACATTTTGCGAAATGAGGGGTTTCGGGTACAGAAAGCTTGTATTCCACATTCAGCTCAGACTGAGAACAACAGCAACACCTAACTAGGCGAGGCTGTCGCTCTACTTATCATAAAGCAACTCTTGCTTCTCTTCTCCACCTTCTGCTTCCTCTTGGGCTGAGCAGCCTTTTCTGTCTTTCCTCTTGTATCGATTGCCTCATTGCCTGCAGCCCTCTGAGCTTGGGCCCGAGAAGAGGAAAAGTAACAATAATAGGAACCAACTTTATGCAAAGATGTTAAGTTTTCTAAAATGGCCAAAGGACATGCACGGTTGGCGGGGGTGCGGGTTGGGGCACAGAGATGTTGCACTGTGACTGGTATCGTCAAACAGAAACTACAGGCGACTGCAGCTGTGAAAAGATTGTGCTAAAGAAACAGGATGGCTGTGGTTTGCTGTGAGCATCAATTTTCCTGTTGAGCATTTTTACAGGAAGTTGAAGAACAAAGCCAACTTCATCTTAATTTGTACTAATGGTTTTCAGATCTTAAACACATCCCACTAAGTTTGCATCATGGAGGAGCCTCTAAAGAATAGAACCAAGAATAATTGAGTAGAAATCCCAAAACTACTAGCTTTTTAAAATACAGGATTTTAGCAGCAATTTGAGTTGGCAAATGGCTTTCTTTTTCCATTGTAACTTGGAGTGGGTTCATTGCTTTATAATGAATGCCTCTGAAATCCTTTCTTACGATTGTAAGAAATCAATATAAATTTAAGAGCCTTTTCTTATTAAAACACTGTTGAGTTATACTAGTATGTATTACAAAGTTCTGTCTATTAGTATTTATTGGTCAAATAATTGTGTGTATGTGTGTGTGTGTGTGTGTGTGTCCGTCTGTGTATTTATAAGCTAGAAGGATATATATCAAAATGTTAATGAAAATTACTTGGGCATTATTAACCCCAAATCTTTTCACCTAAAATTTAATTATTATCAAATGCTTCCTTCAGAGGTTAAATGCCACTGTTGTGTTTCATTTTCATCTTTGTATATTTTTGTGTTGTCTATTGATTTCTAAATGAATAAATGCTACTTTTAGAAGAAAAAAATCTCAAAATAATCAATCTAAAAAGCCAAGAGAATGTGAGAAATACATACATAAAAATACTTTAAGAACATTATATATAAAGTAAAATATAAATGAATATAAATACAGATAAGGTACAGAATAAAAAGTGATGAGGGTAAGAGAGCATTTGGACCTTTAGATCTGTCCAGTTGTATTATTTCTATTATAGCCACCCCCCCAACCCCCCCTCCACACACACACACACAGAGTGAATAAAATACTCAATTGAGTCTCCCTTTTTGAAAAAAAAAGTTTAAGTTTCTCCTATTTGTAGTATAGTATTTAAGTGACTTGGCAGTATTTATATAGCAAAATGCTTTATAGTTTTGAATAATACAAAATGGTGATAAAACATAACTGGATAAACCTGCTTCTTATGGTCTCAAATAGAACATGGCTGATTCAGCAACCAACCCAACCCCCCCCCCACACACACACACACACTTGGGATAGAGGCAGCCTTCTGAGGATCATCAGGTGTTTTCATTGGACAGAGTTGGAAATCTCTCCCCTCTTCATGTCATTCTGTAGTGTGGGCCTCACATGGCATGATCTAGAATGAATTTAAAGTTGGCTCTGTGAAACTAAGAAATGGTTTACTTAAATAACTAAGTAGTTCTCTTGATCCTAAGAAAGTGGATCATTTTATACTCAGAAATAATTC